CCCCAGGACAAGGGGGGTAGCGACGAGGGAGGATCCACGAGGATACGTGATCCTCCCAGAGCCGATCAGCTGGCAGCCATACCGCGACTACCGCCGCGCTTAGACGTCGGGAAATAGACCGAGCTAGTATCGCGATTAATAGAGAGAGAGAGAGAGAGGAGAGAGAGAGAGCGTAGAGAGAGAGAGCCGAGAGAGAGAGAGAGGAGTGAGAGAGTGCGGAGAAAAAGAGAGAGAGAGAGTGAAGTGAGAGAAGGAGCGAGCGGAGCAAGAGAGAGCGAGCGGAGCGAGAGAGAGCTGGGAGAGAGAGAGAGAGAGCAAGGGAAGGAGGACCGCCGTCGCTACCGTCACCGCTGACACCGCCGCCGACGCAAGGGTCGCCGCCGAAAACCTGTAAGACCAACCATCTGCTCCGAACTTAATTGTACCGCGTGTCGTATCGTCGTGTCTCGTCCGCGGAGTGGTCGCGCGAAAAAAAAAAGGCTCGCCCGAGGAAAGCGTCCTCGGGCTTCGTGTACCGTCTCGCGAAGTATATTGTCTCGCGTACAGTAATTATCGGGACGTGCGAGAGTCCCCAAATAAACGTCTCTTTGTTACCATCATCGAGTGTAGTGATTTTGCCTCCTAACCCATCCCGTCTCCGACTTTAATTTAAAACGAGCTACCGGTCCCGACGGTCCCGGGACGCGCCATTCTTTCGTGTTAATTATTTATTCTCGCGTCTATCGAGGTGGTGCGGCCTTTCCGTACCTGGCGCCCAACTCTCGCGAAAATCTTTGTGGCGTGTCCGGGAGCGACGGCAATTTGACGACGAGGCGAACAGGCGACTGTTTGCCGTCGCTCGCGAGAAGTTCCGCTCGCGAGTACCGTCGCAGTGTTTCTGCGTCCGGTTTCGAACTCGAACTGCGTCGGTATTCAGCCCATTTCCTATAATCTTTGTCGTAATCTTCGTTGCTATTGCTCAATCTTAGTGATCAGACAACTAATAATGATTCAAATGGCTCTGATGAAATCTTCATAACTTGTGCTTATATAATGTATCTTCATGTGCTTATAAAACACTGTAATGATATTTACTACAGATATTAAAAATTTACTACAGATTTATTATCTACAGATAATAAATATTTACTACAGATATTAAAACATTGTAATGATATTTACTACAGATATTAAAAACGAAAACAGTTAATATGCAATGGATATTAATATAATGTATATTGGCGAAATAGTGATGCGATTATTGCTCTTATATTTTTAACTTAACATTATTGTGCATTTGAGAGTAAACGATAAGTTAGTTTGAAAAATACATGCAATAATTTATGGATTTATACATATAAGGTGTCCCAGACTATCTTTATCACACTTTGTGAGAACGTAGAACGGATTGAGTCAATTTGGCGCCAAGTGGTGTACGCTGTGACCGTTATTCCTCGCGAGATTACGCGAGGAGGACGGACAAAACTTCGTTCCCGCGACGCGATGACGGCCGACCTTACCGTCTGCTCACTCGATCGCTATGGTAGAGTGGCGTGGTTCTTTACTAGCGAATCTTTGTCTATACATACGTGAGAGAAAAGTTGAGTAACGACTCTTATTCAAAATTCTCACTCAAATTCAAACAGTTAACAATAACATTTATTACGGTCGACGTAGCAATGGCAAAATATTATACCACTAATCGACTGGTATTCTTATTGATAAGTATCCAGTGATAACTAATATACCATTGATCGAATGATATTCCTACTTGAGTACATTCAATAGTAAAATATTTTACCACTAACTGAAGGATTTTCCTACTAACCGAAGGATTTTCCTTCAAGTAGTAAAATCATTCGATAATGACAACGCCGTGGAGTCATATGATTTTATCATTAATCCAAATGATTTTACCACTAATCTCAATGGTAATATCTCAATGGTAATATCTCAATGGTACTATTAACACTTTTCACGACGGGATGTCTCTTGATACTATAAATTGTATGTATAATTATATACTATACAGTATGGCCTAATCGCTATCAACCACATAACCTCGATTTTAGCGCAGCAGCGCTAATTTTGAAACTATGCACAGGGAAAAAAGATGGAGGTATGTAGCTTAAAACGTATTTGTTTAACTTTGAAAAATGTATATTTTAAAATATATATTATCTATCAATTAATATAAATTCACACATTGCTTGGACAAAAAAGAATTCCAAAAATACCTATACTTACTGGGTGGAAAAAAGATGGAGATATATAGCTTAAAAAGTATTTGTTTAACTTTGAAAAATGTATATTTTAATATATATTACCCATCAATTAATATAAATTCACACATTGCTTGGACAAAAAAGAATTCCAAAAATACCTATACTTCCTGGGTCGATACACTGGTATAACTTCTTAAAATCCAGTTTTCATTAACTAAACGCTTTCAACATTGGTGCATCTATCTTTATATTGCCTCGTCATTAATTGTAATGAAATATAAATTAACAAAAAATTTTTATATCACTTACCATTGTCGCACCCATCTTTTCAGTACTACGTCTTTTTCGAGAACGTCGACTAGTTGTATCGCCCTTTTTATCCGCAGAAGATTGTACATTATCACTTGTGTGTCGTGAGGAACGACGCCCTCTCATAGTTTTCTGTTCAGACATCAATTGATTTAGTTGCTTTGGATTCATAATATTTTCTTCCGCTTCCTGTTCCTATATAGAAAATCGTTGCATTTAAATATGTTATTAATATAATATATAAAGCAACTCAAATAACACTTTCAATGACAATATATAGTAAAAAATACAGAAATTAAAATTTAAACTTATTAGTTTAAACTTAAAATTTAATATAATTCTCTATTTTGATGAAATAATATATATATATATATATATTTATATATATATATATATATATATATATATATATATATATACAGGGTGTTCGGAAAGTACCGGGATGCCCGAATATCAGGAAAAATATAAGTTTTACAAAAAAATGTTTCAGACAAAAGTTGTGGCGTTTAAAAAGATGTATTTACTGATCACATCAGTTTGACCTTGAGTTGCGTAGCGAAGGTCAGG